AAGCTGCAGAAAAATTTGGTTCGGTTGTTTTTCGGGATTCGGATCCGAAATTCAGTTTGATTCGGGTTTCGGCCGAAATCCGAATTTTCTTTAATTTCGCATGAGTTTACGAATATTCGTTGCGAATGGCATTCGGGAGAACACGAATGCAATTTGGAAATTGGGATCCCGAATGCCATTCGGGTCTAGGAGCCTCAGCTTTAGTATTATATGTGTATATATATATATATATATATCTCCCTTGTTGACATATAATTTAAGAAAATTCGCTATGGGCTTATATATATAGCTCCCTTGTTGACATATAATTTAAGAAAATTTGGATTAAGACCCATTCGGATGCATTAAACCAAAAAACACATCTGATTGGCCAGAAAAGTCACATGTCCGATTCAGTTTAGTTTATGAACAAAATTCAGACGGGATCCAAAATTCGGAAATGGAAATTCGGATTTGGATGCATTAGGGTTCATTGGGATTTGTAAATTTGGATGTGTCCGAATTTCGGAAAATTCGTACGAATTTGGATTCGGAACAAATGAATTGCACATGTCTAGTGCTTTATGCTCTATGCATTCTTTTGAACTTCATTTGATGAAGCCCATAGCGATATACATGAAGTAGTGTTGGATATTTACTAACAAAGTATAAAGTTGTGCTAACGTTTCCCAATTATATTTTGACATTTTTAAAGTTTATTCATTTTTGGCTTTAGGGGAGTAAGACTCCAGAACAGTGGCATTGCTAGGTCTGGGTACCTGAGGATCACTGACTATGGCTGATACATTGTGATGGCATTACTGCTGCCTAATGCAACATAGGACATTCTATTTAACAGGGTATGCTTTCTATATAGCAGAATCTTGTAGATGACAATACAATTATGGTGTAGCTGTAGCATGTTAAGCACATAAGCTCAGTAGTTTAGGCACTTTCCTTGTGCTCAGTCCTATATTTTCACTAAGCACACTATTTGCTATGGTACGTTATGCATGCTGAAATTGGTTCCTATGCAGGATACACATAATTAATTACCCAGGAAATCTTGCAACAACCCTGGCACGTTGTATCTTCACCTAACTACAGTGCAGAATCACTTTTTTAGGTGTGTTTCTTTAACGGAAAAGGAAACTGAGCCTTACTAAAGTACTTATTTCTGTGCTTCACTCTTCCTGCAGTCAAGGTGATGTGTATTACTACTGCCAGCTCTGCACTTTTTGTCTATATCATCAATATGATCTAGAGTTCACTGCAGCTGCTGGTTTAAGCAAGTTGGATGCTGCCCCTGGGTGATAGTGTATGTGATATTTCATTTGTATGGTTCCTGTGATAGCCTGGGCTGCAGTAAATTGTTTTTGAGAACGGACTTTCAATTTCACTTTATTTTTATCCATCATCAAGCCTGGATTTATCATCTTCTAGACACCTAACTGTTCTCAGTGATGCCAACCCTTCCTGCTTAAACTCTTGGAATTTTTCAGCAGCATGCATGATGCTGCATCTAAGATGATAAAATCTGAAACTGTATCCAAAGACTTAACTATAGCCTTTCCAACTAGTGCAAATGACAGGCTACCTGGCCTAACAATCATGTTTATAACTGTTTTTTTTCTATGTAGCTGTATTGTTATCCAAAAGCATATAGCGTCTGATAAGTTATTTTCATGTTAATGTATTAATTAACAAAAGTGATGATGCTCATAGGCATTGGATGATATTAGCAAACTGATGATGGTTTTACGTCCTTGGGGTAACTGCAAATAGAATTGGCTGAGGATCTGGGCATATAGTGATTGGGTTACGTAGGAAACCATGTCCAATCTCCTTGCTTTCCCTCAATACATTGCCGCCCAATGTGCTGCAGCTCTCCTTTCCATAGGCCTACAAAATGGGTTTGCCTGATGAAACTGTTTATGAATAGGAACATGGTTGCTGGTAGGACTCATGCACATGGGCTTAATAAAATACTGATATCTACAGGTATGCAGGAGCTTGCTGGCAGAAAGATCCTGCATAAAAAATTATGTTATGATCTGTAAAGTGCTTCCGTTTACTAGCGTTTATATGTTAGACGTCTATAAAGCGTTCACATCCATAAAATTATTCTTCCATTCCTCAAGCTCAGTTTTCAGCCCCAGCATGTACACATGTATATTTGTACACAAGTAAGGGCCCGTTCACAAAATCGGACTGAAAACGTCAGTCAACGGAGGTTCATTGACTTGCAATTTCAACCTCCGTTGACTTCCGTTCAGTTGCGTTGCATTTTTTTTTTGCCAATTTCTATTTTAATTAACATGTCCTGAGTGGATAAACTTCCATGTATTTTTTTTTTTACTTGAGTTCCGTTGCATTGACATTCATTGTTAAAATGTGTTAAGTTACGACCTCTTTGCTTTTGCTTTTTCATACTCTTTGTTGTTATATCTCTGCCTTTTCCCCTCAAACAACCATTAAGCCTCTTCTTAATACAGCCTTGGTCTGGTGAAGTAGAATTTTGAAGTGACACTGATTTATGATCTGGGGATATTATATTTGTACACATTCTACACATTTTCAGAAACCTCCTG